TGATACGTGAATATAAGGGCCACATAATTCACATACTCTCAAAATACATTGGGGTCGCGGACTCTAATACTGCGGAGCTTGAAGCCTTGAAACATATTTTACAAACCATTGGGCGATCGATGATTGGCTTTCCTATCCCACAGACTATCATAGAGAGCGATTCAACTACAGTGATTGCTTGGATTAACAATAAGTGTGGGTATCCTTGGCGACTTGATCGAGAGGTACAAGAAATTCTTAATTTTATCAATCATTCTAATGGAATCATGATTTGTCATATTGTACGTGAGCGTAACTTCTTAGCTGACAGCTTGGCTAAGAGAGGTTCTCAACGTAATACAGACCTCTCAGTGTGGCTATAGATTTACATATATCTCGGGGTGTTGGCTGCTATCATTCACGCTTTGTGCTGCAAGATGATTTTTTTGGTGGAGGCCTACTAGCTAAGAAAGTAAGTTGTGGCCTTAATGTATGTTTTCGTTACACAGATTGATTGTCTGTTAAGTGTTATTATTATTATTTTTTTATTTTTATTTGATCGGCGGTTAAGTGTTATATGATCAAGTGTGACGGTGGAAAATTGGTGGTGGTATAATGCTAAAGATTTTGGTTAATAGGTGAAATGTTCTTTATTTTAGTTATTAGCTATAATTAGCTTTGGGTTTAGTCACTGCATAAGTGCATCATGTAATAGTGTTTATGGGCAATATAATTCATCTGCTTTTAAAAAAAATATTCAAAAATCAACCCGTAAAAAGTAAATGAATACTTAGTTACAAAACGAAAATAGTATAATTTATGTATATAAATTATAAAGAGCAAAAATATCAAAATTATCTTACACTTCTAACCAATAAAATATTATCATTTTTTAAACTACTACAAAATCCTAAAAACTCATTTGAATTGGAACGGATGAAATATTATTTTGTTAATATATCTACATCATATTTATTAATTAACCATATTATCTCATCTTGATTAAATAAATTTCTGTTAATAAATAATATACTATATTTTTTTTTCATATTTTGGAAGTGATCTGTTCAAATATAACATATTTATTTAATATTATTATTTTTTAATTAAAATGTTATTTAATAAAAAAAAATTACTTTTAAACTATCCTTGAGTAATATTAATTACATAATTTAAATTTAAATTGATTTTATATCATTATTCTTCGAATAAGCTCTTGACTAAATCCTATAGTCCAACTTACAAATAATTTTTTTATTATAAATATGAAAAATATTGATCTAATTTTTATTTATTTCAGTACTATATTTGAAGCAATCCCTTTTTACTTTTTTAAGATAGGCAGTTTTTAAAAAGAGTGACAAAATCATTTATGTTAAATAAATTAAAAGAGTAGTTGTTCATTTAATTATTTTGGTATTTATTATTTTCTTAAAAAGGAGAATTTTTAGTCACACGATTGGGATGACAATAAATCTTTTTAAGGACCACTTATGGCAAGTTTGCATCTCTTCTTTTGTATTTTTAATTTTAATACTATGTCCGTCCAAAAAAATATTCATTTGTTTTTTCACCTAATTTTAAAAATATTAGTATTATATTAGAATATAGTAGGAATAAAGTAAAAATTACTAAAATAACATTGTCAGTATGTGTGATATAAAAATAATGACATTTGTTTAATATATTATAAGTTGTAAGGATATTTGTAATGTTAGGTAGATAGTACAGTTACTAAAAAAGAAAATAGATACTTTGTTATGAAACGGACTAAAATAGAAAAATAGATACTTTGTTATAGGACGGAGAGAGTATTTAAATTATTAAATTTATTACTAACTATAAGTATAATTAGTAGATAATAAAGAATGTATTAGTGAAAATAAATAACCTATAATATAAATCATTATAGATTGAAATTAAGATGACTAATTAGTTTAATTAAAATTAAAAAAATAAATTTAAAATTTTAAAATTAGATTAAGATACTTAATCATTTTTCAAAAAAAAAAAAGTAACATGAGATGTGGAACAATCAGAAACGGCAACATGGACATGGTAGATGAGACGGAGAGAGTGTAATTTTTTTAAAAAAATATATTTAATATTAGTTCTTTATATATAATATTACCCTTAACAATTATTTTTTACTTTAAAAATATTAATATCAATTATTTATTTTTAGAAAAAAAAACAAAAACAAACACATGTTTCCTTTTGCAGCATTAAATGTGCTTTGATAGAAAAGCATATCTCAGTACAATTGGTAAGGCGGTTAGTTGGATCAAATAGTATTAAAAAATTAGAAATTTAATATAATTTTTTTAAAAAATAAAATAAAATAAAATAAGTGTAAATAAATAGTAATAAAAATTTTAAAAATACATGTATAAAAGGAGTCTAAATAACTATTTTATAATTTTATCGTAAAAATTTAGAATAATAATTTGTCAGGTTTTACATCTAATTTTACTACTTTAATTTTTTTTTCTAAAAACATCAAATCAAACACCTAATTTTTATTTATTTTATTACACTAAAATCTAATTTTACATTCAAAACATCACGTCAATACATATTTATATCACATCAAACAACTATTTCAATTCAAAATTTTACTATTCAAAATCAAAACCCAAAACTTAAACCTCACAAGTAAACACACCCGGAGTTGTTTTATTTGAATAAAGGGTAAACTGTTTTTTTTAAATACCGTAAGTGGATCCCTTATCATTTTAGTCTCGTAAGTGGAGTATGTCGCAAACTAGTCTCGTAAGTGAAAATTTTTTGTTGTTTTAGTCCTCCGGCACCGGAGAGCCCGCGTGGCTCGCCGGAATCCACGTGTCCGCCATATGTCCTGCCAAGTTAGCGACACTGGGCGACCCGTAGATTTTATTTATTTATTTATTTTCAATTGAACCAAATAAAAAATAAAAAAAAAACAAATAAAATTAAAAATAAATTTAAAAAAAATTTAAAAAATGAAAAAATAAAATAAAATAAAATCCACTTGTCCGCCAGAGGTGTCGCGCTAGGTCAGCTCATAAAAATAAAAGGCGAGCCACGCGGGCGTCTCTGGTACTAGAGGACTAAAACAGCGAAAATTTTTCACTTATGGAATTAGTTTGCAACAAGCTCTACTTACGGGACTAAAATGATAAGAGGTTCAATTACGGAATTAAAAAAACAGTCTACCATTGAATAAATTGTTAACAATAATCATTTATTTAATATTGATTTCAACTAATGATTATGCTGATAATTGTATTTTTTTAAAAAAATATATATTTCAAATAATTGTAAATCACACGAGACCTTTTGTTTTAAAATATATGTAATAAAATACTAGTTTTCTAATTATTATTTTATTAGTACCCGTTAAGGTGTCAAATTACGATAGATACGAAAAGTTAAATAAAATATAATTAATATTTATTAATAAAAATAATTATAAATTAATTTAAATTTTGATTAAAATGCATAATTATATTTTTAAAAAATAAAAGAACAAATTATATGAGATAAAAAAAATAAAAAATTAATACTTTGTGTGTATATTGACATGAAATTCAATGATTTGGGCAACAAACTTTGCTTTCCTTCATTTAATTCCCTTTCGTTATATTAAAGTCTTGTTTGCTTTTTGGGGTAAGGATGTAAAGACTTTGGTCCATATTTATCTAAAAGTTGTGCATCAATTTATACTTAATTTAATTAAATTAAATTATAAATTATATTATTATCTTCTATTAGCATTTGTATTATGTTTGAAAACTTTAAAAATTGTATAGTAAACAATTAAAAGAGAACAAAGATCACCATAGTTTTTATAGTTTATTTTATATTTTATTTTTATAATTAAAAAAAAAAATACTCCCTCCGTCCCGCGAAAGATGGAGTTTTTTTGTTAGGGACACCCTATTTTAAGTAATGTAGGTTATTAAGTTATTAATACTAAGTTAAGATAATATTTTATTATATTTTTATATACGTAGTGTTGTTGGTATTTTAAATTTTTTAGAATTATATCTCAATAAAATATATGCAATATGAATATCATTTTATAGACAATAAAATTTTATATAATACAAATGAATGAAAAATTATATTTATTTATTTACCATTACCATAAATTAGTTTTATAAAAAAAATGAAGTGTAAGATGGTAGAAATTTAATTAAATTAATTTATATTTGTTAAGCATGTTTAAGATTGATAAACTTATCAAAAATGGAAATGAGTCATTTTTTGTAGGATATACCAAAAAGAAAATTGGGTCATCTGTACTGGAACGGAAGGAGTACCTCATTGTATTAAAAAAAAAAAACAGAGCTTTTATTTATTTATTTATACCTTGTGTATTATTGCATGATGGTGATGGAAATTTGACTGAATAAAATTTTAAGATAGTTTAATCATATATGCTATCAAATGTAGAGAGTCATGAATTTAATTTGATACTTGAAACATATAACAAACTTCAATGCAACGCAACAGTTTCTTACCTGCTTTACAAAATAATAAAAGGTCAATTCTTCGTACTATATTTTTATTTTTTTAAAAAATATTTTATTTTAAAAATAAAACTACTCAAAATATTTTTTTTATTGCTTTAATTAACGGATAAATAGATTTATATATAATTTAAAATTTTTATTTTCTAATAATTAACTTCACATTTATAAATATAAATATATAGTAAAAAAAAGTTGAATATTAATATAATTTGAATCCCTGCATTGCAACAAACTATCATACATACATAAGGTGTGTTTGTTCATAGGTTTGAGATTTTGAATTTGAATTTTTTAATAATAAAAAAATTGTATTTGAATAGTTGTTTGATACGATTTTTTAAGATAAAATAAATTATAATATAATATTAAAAAAATAAAATTATTTTATTTGATATTTTTGAAAAAACAAAATAAAATCTTAATAATAAAAACTTATTGTAAAATTTATAAAAGATCACAACCATAAATTGTTAAGTCAAATATATAATTCAACGCAATCCTATATATTTAAATCAATACAATTTACTCTATTTCAACAATACTTTATGTTAATCAAAATTAATATGATCAAAACCAAAATCGAAACCAAACACTCAAAATCCTACAAACATCGATGATCGATGGATTTCCGATTTTTTCTTTTTCTAGAATTAATTAAGAATAATCTCGATTACGCCGCCTATTACATGCGATTGCATCCTTTTTTATTACGATCACACTTTCTTCTTGTTCGTTGTTGTTGTCGTTGTTGTTGTTGTTATTATTATTATTATTATTATTGATTTTTTCCTTGATCTGATCACTTTTCTTCCTTTGCAGACGAAATACGCTCTTTAACCCATTGAGTAGCCTCCGGCCAAGATTCTTCTCGCCGGTCGCCGGAATCTCGTCGGACGGTGACGGAATTTCTCCGACGTTCTTGGAAGCGTCGCGATAACTCAAGGCGGATATAGAGCCGAGTTGGTTCCGACCGATTTTGTTGCTTTCTGAACCGAAGCGGGAGCTGGCGGACCGGGTTGAGTCGGTCCGGTTTTTAATACTTTCCGATTCCTTTATAAGCGTTCTCATCGCGCTGAGTTCTTTCTCCAGTGTTTGGATTCGCGTGTTGGTGGCGGTCATTATGCTTTTGAGCTGCGACACCTGTCGGAGGGCGGCGTCGCGCTGGAGGATTGCGCCGAGAGTTTGATTTTCTTTGCGGTGGTTCTGGTGGTCGGCGGCGGTGATAATGGAGGCGCGTGTGTTTAACTGCTCCACGAACATAGCTTGGACGACGAATCGGAGAGGCATCCTTGGATTCTGAACTGCGTGCATCAGAAATTTTGGAGATAGAATGCTGCAATCGATGTAGTTGCACATTTTGATCTTCTGTTCGTCGGAGACTCCTCCGATGTTCGCCTGAATCGACGTTTTAGATCGTCTGAATTAGCGATTATTTGAGACAGATTGTGGAATTGATAACCGGAATTGATTGATTACGTACCTTCAGATGAGCGTCGACGATTCTGTAGACGAGATCGTGAGAGTTGGTTAATCGTCGACTAACCGCCTCCAAAATCAACTGCAGATCTCCGATCTGCAACCGCTTAGCCTCATCCAACCACCGGAAATCGCCGTCGGCTTCCGCCGTCAAGCTCAACGCCTGGATGCATCTGCTAACGAGAGACGCCGCAGTCTCCGCCTCCGGTAGATAATCGAAGCACGACTCGAGGATAATCGACGCGCAGTCGCTGTTACCACCGGAAATTACACCGGAAAAATACGCCTCCGACTTCTGCACCAAATTTTCATCACCGGTTTCGGTAACCTCTGTCATTCCGAGCAACTCCGCCGCCGTGCGAAGCGCCGCGACGTTCCTCGGAGTTATGACGACGACGTCTCCGTAACAGAAATCCGCCACCAAAGAGAACGTCTCCGCCGTAATGTTTAACGGCGGCGAGAGAGTTATTTCAGAGAATTCATGACTCAGCTGTCGTTTCAAAAAGGTACTTCTCGCCATTAATATTTCCTGTGAATCACAGTAAATGCACCATCACTTTTCATTGCTGTTGAAAACCACACTTCATTGCACATTTACTTAGGCTAACGAATCATCCAGAAATGCAATTCCGAAAAAACTCACTGAAGAACAGAGAAAATAATAACCTAGATCGAAATTCTAGCTAGTGTAGAGAACGTTACAAACCTTGTGAAGTCCGAAGGAAGAGTCCTGGACATGAATCACAACATCCGGAGGATAATCATGCTTTCTATCCAGCGATAAATAATTCCTAGAGAAAATTCAACAAAACAGATCTGAATTTCAGCGAAAAAAAACTAGGAAATTAAGTGCATATACGTTCACATAGATATACATTCACATAGATACACACCATGGTTGAAGCCTGGAAAATCGAGAATGAGAAGGAGTCGAATTAGGCAAAGAGGCTAATTCGAGTGATTGAATGCTAGAACACGAAACTTGATCATCTTCCTCATATTCATCTTCATCTTCTTCGTCTTCTTCATAAATTGTTCCTGCAACGCCCAATCCATTCCACTCCGGATCTCCTAAATCCATGGCTACTGCTGCTTCTGTGTTATTGAAGAGTTGGGGATTTTGGGTGAGAGAGAAATGAATTTATAGAGTGAGAGTGAATTGTGAATAGTAAACAGAATTGATAAGAGTTTCCTTCCTTTTCCTTGTAAATGGAGAGAGAGAGACTTATAACTTATAAGGATTCCTATTTACTGAGTTGGTGCATTTATTGCGGGCATGTGGACAATCATAAATGAGATTATTGAATTCATTCCTAGCGCATATCCTTCTCCAATTCAAATTAACAATGCAAATTTGCTTATAATATTACTCTAAACCACATAAAATCCTTTATATTTTATTTATTATACAAAAAAATTTTATTATTATGTTCAAATAGATATAAAATTATTTTTTTATTAATACGAAATATTTTAAATAATTTTATTTAAATAAATAATTAATATCTCATTTAATAATATTTTTTTTAAAAAAAAATAGGTAATTGTAAATTAAAAAAACTATTAAAACAATTATTTATTTCATTCAAAAAATATTATTTAAAATACTTTATTTTTTTTATAATCGTATAAAATTTGTATTATTAAGTGTGCATTATCTTTAAAGATGATGTTTTGTATCTATTTTAATTTAACACAGATCAATTTTACACAATAAATAAAATAATAAATATTTTTATATTTTTATTAAAATACACGAGACTATTATATAATTTACCATATAATCTATTCATAATTTTGAAAGTTTGCAATGTATTCTTTCATAATTTAGAAATTACACGGATTTCATTATATGTTTTTTTTAAAAAAATATTATACAAAATTTCTATAAAATGTATTAAACTCGTGAATTTTATTTTAAAAAATATTATACATAATATCCTAAAAATATATCATACAATTTTTAAAACACAAAGGATCGTCGTTCTTGTTTCTAAATTACAATGAAAAAAACATAATATAAAATTTTCAAATTACAAATAAGACTATAAGAAAATTTTCAAATTGATAGTTTTTTTTTTCATTATATAATTTGATAAAATTTTCTCTAAAAATAATTTATTCGAACACTTATTTTTAAAATAAAAGATATTTCATTCAACAACTGTTCGGTTGTAAGACTTTTACAAAATTTTACTATTCATCCCATTTTTTCCCCTCGAAAATATCGAATCAAACACCTATTTTTCATTTTTTATATTATACTAAAAATAAATTTTACATTCAAAACATCACATCAACACCTATTTATATCACATCATGCAACTATTCAAATTCAAAATTTTTACTATTCAAATTCCAACTCAAAATCCAAACCCCCAAACAAACACACCCTAAAAAAACACGTTAATATATATATATATATAAATCAACAGTACAATATTATATTGTATAAATATAAAAAAATGTAACACATAAATTAATAATCCATGGCAATATTCAGACTGCCTATATTACTTTTGATTTCAATAATAATAATAAAAAAAGTTCATACAACATATTTTGTGTTTATAAATTTTACTTAATTTTAATAATCATTGTCCTAATCATTGGTCATTAAAAAAACAGTCAACTATTTGGTAGAGTACTGGTTATAGTTATTAATTAGAATATTTCAATTGAATTCCGTAAGTTAATTATAATAATGAGTTGATGTTATTAACATGTTCAAATAATTATTGAATTAAATGAATAGATAAGATAATTTATATATATATATTATTTTTAAAATATGATGAGACAAAAATACAAGCAGAATTCACATACAAATTTGACTAAAATTCATAATATTATAATATTATTATATCTATGGTAGTTGGGCCTCTTTGGTATGTGCTTTGATTTAAATTATTCAAATTAATTTTTAAATAATATATTATTATGATATTCTATGGAAAATAAAATTATCATATTTTTATTAAAAATGGAGTAAATTATATAATTCTTACACACAAAAAATAATAATAATAATAATAATAAAAAGATATCAGGTCGGTTAGTCTTCGGTTCGTTAGTCCGGTCGGTTAGTTTGCGGTCGGATAGTCAGGTCGGTTGGTTAGCGGGTCGGATGGTTCATAGGTCGGAAAGTCTATGGGTCGGAAGGTTTGCGGTCGGATAGTCAGGTCGGTTGGTTAGCGGGTCGGATGGTTTGCGGGTCGGAAAGTCTGCAAGTCGGTTGGTCAGCAGGTCGAATAGGCAGGTCGGTTAGTCAGCAGTCTGCGGTCGGATAAGCAAGTCGGTTGGTACGTGGTCGGACCAAGTAAAGTCGGCTGCCCACTTAAGTGAACAGTAGTTTGGTCGCTTGATGGGGGCGGCCAAGGAGTCTTTTGGTCCAACGACTAGTTAGTCGTTGGATTAGTCGGTTGCTCTAACTGATCAAGCGACGGTTCCAAGCGTTTCTTTTGGGCGGTTGATGGCGGTTGCTGTAACTGACCAGGCAACGGTTCCGAGCGTTTTTCAAAGAATATTTAAGGATTTGGATTTTTCTGGAGAAGGCATCTTCAATCAACTTCAACAAAGCAAAGTCAGATTCGGGATCACCGCTTTAAATTTTCAGCATTTAATTTCCAGTTATTTCTTTTCATGTACTGTACAGTGTTTAGAGATACCTAATCTCATACATTAATTATTCAAGTTTAAAGATATTTTCCATATCTTTGAATTTTAGTTTCTGTTTGTTGAAAAAATACATCATCAACAACAACAACAACAACAACAACAACAACAATAATAATAATAATTGAATTCGAGTCCAAAAAAGGAAGAATCCAATATTGTACAAGTAATACTAATATGTTAGGTTCGGCGAAAAATTTATCCAAAGCGTACTCGACGAGTAACAGCTGCAGATTCTCAAGTTATATAAAAATAAAAAAATAAAAAAAATATAGAGTTCCGTAATGTCTAATCATAAAATTATAAGTTCAAATACTCGACATTTTCAAATTTTGTCTGCGAAGTTAGGCAGGTTAAAAAATAGAAAATAAAAAATATGTAGAGTGTTTGTTTGTAAGGTTTTGATTTTAGATTTAAATTTTAAATAATAAAATTATAAATTAAAATTATTTGATATGATATTTTAAATATAAAATTATAAATAAAAATTAGATGTTTAATCTTATTTTTTGGAGAAATAATTTTAAAATAGTAAAAATAAAATCAAACTCTCATAAACAAGCACACCCATAATATTGGTTCAAATTAGATTATGAAATGTTTAATTTTATTTCCATTTTCATTCAGATCCTATTACACTATTATACCCTGCTATGAAATTATAAATAATAGTATATAAGAAATTTAATAATTATGTTGTTAGATAGGAATTTATAATAATACTTTAAAAAACTAAAAACTTCTAATTTTAGCAATATTTTGGTGCCCTTAAATATTTAATGAACAAGTTGTTTTAATTTGAATTCAAATTCAATATATCTATAATAAACAATTTAGGTTTATTCATTTTGTGATTTTGGATGAATTTATTTTTTAAATTAAGTATGAAAAATAATATTAATAATAATTTTTAAAGAGAATAAAAAAATGTATATTATATATTATGTTAATATATATATATTATATTTTATAATATTTATAGAGAATTGTACTATAAAAAAATAGTGAGTGAATAAACTCAAATAAGTTTAGAAAATATATATAGATTTTTATTTACTATGTATCAAATCTCATTTTTTTACTACTAATTTTCATAATTTTGTTTTAGAAATATATATTTTTATCTTCTTATAAAATATCAATAGTATTTAAATTAAATTCAAAACTCAAAACAAACTACAAAAGGAAATGAAATGTTTTAAAATTGGAAGTGGATATGGATCTGAAAGGGACAAAAATAATGGCGTAATTTAGATAACTAAAAGTTAATTATTCTACAGTGAAGCCTAGAGCTGGCAATGAGTCGGGTCGGGTTTCGGTAGGACTAGATTTTTAAACGGGTCAAACTGTGCAACTCGAATCCAACTCGTTTATTTGAACAAGTCAGAAGACTCGACCCGTTGTGACACCCTGATCCGCAAACCACGTAAAATCGAACGTGTCGGGATCGTAGACTGGTCCTACAGGTCAATATGAGTCATTTCAGGACGCTTCTATCCTCACTGACGTGCACCCTGGAAGATTTCCCAAGGGTCACCCATCCTAAAAAAATCCAGAGTAAACACGAAAGTTATTTCAGTAGGGCTTTCAAAAAAAAATATGCACATTGTTGATATGAGTAGTCTATTCAATCTATTTAACTTATAATCAACTTCGAATGGCCTAATACTGCCTCATCTACATACGGAATTTGGCCAAGCAACGGCTCAACTCCGGAGTATCACACCCGTTCAACCAAAAAATAATTTGTTAACACATTTAATAATTTTTAAAATGGGTTAGATGACCCAAACCCGATCCGACTAACACATAATCGACCTGTTTATTCATTTAAAAAATTTTAAAAATTAAATTTACATAAATCTAACTATAATAAAATAATCAATCCTCTCAAAAAACTAAATATCACTAAGTAAATAAAAAATATTCCTACAAGCATACACAATAAATAGTAAAAACTATTAAAGATAATATATTTAGATTATGTTAATTTAAATTAATATTTTTTTGAAAATACATATATAATAAATATATTAATTGATATTCATATATTATGAATAGGTTGTCGTGTCGGGTTTGGGTTGAAGGCATCAACCATAATTCGATATGTTATAAAGCTATGCTTTGTTGACTACATTTCAAATCGGTTCATGTGATACACACTTTTTCTCACTCTAAAAGCCCTAACATCTCTCCAGAAGCGATCCCGATGGGATTATGATTGATTGCACATTCGATTTCCGGCGATTTTGTCTGGCAAGTTTAGAGATGCTATTTCCCTTAATGATGTGCGACTTGATCCTTGAAGTTTCTGTTGGGTATGTGTGTGAAAGAGGAGAAAAAATAAGGAAATGAAATGTTTGTGTCCCACATGGGAACATAAACAAACTCACCCCACTATATTAACATATCACTCCATTAAGTAGTAAATGACAAAATTGGGTTGGGTTTGGGCTCTATGGCTTGGGCTTGGGCTTGTGGTTGGGCCTATGCTTTATATATAATATATCTATATA